AGTATCTGGTGCTGAATGGCCGATATGGTGTTCTAAATCGGGTCACAACTTTTGATGATACTGATACCAAAAATATTTACCAGTGCAACGAGGATTTTGATGAGGTTATGGAATTTTACGACAAACAATTTGTACCTACCGTGGTAGTTGCCGAACAAAAGACATTAAGGACACGATATGTGAATCATTCGTCGAATATAAAAGGTTTGATCTCGGCATAATTCCGACGACTTCATCAAACAGATATTTATTAACATGTTGACTTAACTTTATTATTAAGTATTAGAAAATCAAGCGCTTAAAAAGCAACGATTCTGTACCGACGAAGATGATAGTGAACGGCCACTATCTTCAAAAGACATCACTTCGATCGTTGATTCTCGGAGTGAAGTTGATTCATGTGTCAAGAGAAGGCTTACTGTCGATTCACTCAAAGCCTCCACAAAAACTCAAGAGGCCGAGGATGAATTTATCATGGTAGTGCCTGAAGGAAATGATTTCCCTTATTCGAAATCCCCCTTTGCAAACAATATTACTAATAAAGGATTAGAGGCACTCTCGGAAAAAGAATCAGATGATGAATCAGTGATTGTCGTTAATCCTTGTACTGGGGAAGAGGTATTTATCTTATTTTTTATCATTGCCGTGACTTGAAGGCTCAACGAAAACATCCTGTGAACAATTGTAGGAATATTGGACTCCTAAACTTGTTGGGCAACCATCAGTCCCGGTATCTAGGAATTATTCGAATATCATCAAAAAACGTGCTTTATCCTATAGAGAAAATCGTGAATATGCGTCGCCCATAATTCCCATTTCATCCGATCCCTCGAACACAGCATCTCAGGAAGCAAATTTCTTGTCATCAACTTCATCGTCTATTCAAATCACTTCAGATTCAAATTCCATTTGTGATTCGGATTCTACCTTATCCTGCAACGCGTCTCCGTCCTCCGATGCGCATTGCGGTTTTCCTCCCCCAAAATCTAATATTCTCTTTAAAACTTCTCCATGGACACCTGATGAAGACAAGCTACTTATTGACGCGGTATTGGAAAATCTATCTCCACCTTGGACTCATATTTCAAGAAATACAATCCAAAATAGATCTGACGATTCTTGTCGACATCGTTGGGCAAGATTAAGAAGGAGACTATATGGCAGCGCTTAAAGGCATTTGGCTCGGGTAAATGGTAAATATTAATTTTTCGCGTACACAGATACATTGTTTTTAATATTCCTTAATGAATCATGTAATTGACTGCTTTCATTATTTTTTTTCGAAAAATTATAACTTCTCCCAAATGTAAACGGAAACTCAGCTATCAAATTTGTATATTTTTTTTTTGATGGAAGAAATTTCGCATTTTGCACAGGATTTGCTAGTATCTCGTTTTGATATAAATGATATTTTCGTAAGATCCAAAAAATTTGTGAATTCCCAATTAGCGTAGAGTTCGTTTTTTGAATATCAATTTTAATTTGGAAAATTTCTTTATAAGGTAGACAATGTAGAAGTTGATTTAGCTTTCGAAACTTCCGGCAATGTATTGACCTAAAAGTTGCTTATAAATTCTAACAAAAAAAAAGTTATTGGCGATAAAGAATTATTGTTTATTGCTTACGTATTTTCCGAAAATTTTTGATGACGAAATTGGTGTTTTCCTATTAATCGGTGACGTATATGAATCACTTCAGTTAGTAATGATTAGCGAAACCGCCAGAAATTACTGGCATAAAAGTTCTAGAAATTTGTAGAACGTTTCTTGTAGATCCTGCAAAATCTATAAAATTACAGATATCTGGCTTTAACGTTTTTTTAAGAAAATCATAAAAAATAATCATAGCTTTTCAGTAAAAATAATTTCATCAATTGTATAAGAATTGCCTTGTCAGTTACCAAAAATGTTTGCTTTCTATCCCGAAGAACCGGAATACTATTATATACCCAGTAGTTATTACCCTCGTTCACAATTCTCAGGGTGTCGCCAACATAACCAGCCTCCTTGTTCTTATCACTCGAATCCATATTCATCCTACTCCCACCCATGTTCAGACTCGTATCTGACTCCCACTCACAACAATAATCGTAGCTATCACAGAAACTACAATCAAGGCGCCCATCATAACAGAAATACTAATCGTCGAGACAGAAGTGAAGATGACTCCATATTCCTGAATAATCTTCGTCAACGCGACTCTTTGTTTACTCCTGATTACTTTTTTAATGTTCAGCCGAATTACATTGACCTTGAAAGGATGAGCCGAGGACCTCAAGGACGTAAATTCCATAATAATGGCGAAGAATTAAAAAAGAAGACCACGCCCTCAAGGAAATCACGGTCGATCCCGGTTACCACTCCTTCCGATTCTGTCAAAACAAATAAATCAAAATCAACGCTCGATAAAAATCAGGCATCCCGAAAAATCTATAAATTCCTGAGATACGATACCGCTAATCATAAAACTCGAAAAGTTCTTTCAAAACTGTTGCAACTACGAAACATACAAAATCAATTGACTAACCTGATACCATCAAATGATCAATTGATATTGACATTCAGCACAGACCAAAAAACGCCACAAGTATTGCCTATATCGAAGGATAATAAGAAATATTTGGAATATGAGGACACAGCTTTGAAGATCTTGAGTAAATTAGATGAAGTTGATAGTAATGGATATGATATTGTTAGAGAGAGAAGAAGAGAGATCGTGGGATTAGCTCAAGGAGTTCTAAATCGAATGGACGAGGAAAAAGAAAGGCAATGGGAAGAATTTAAGGCGGTTACGATAGAAGGCGAGGATAATAATAATACAGATATTGAAAATAATAGTAAGGTAGAGGATAACGATCTAGATGATTATAATACGGTGACCGAGGAGGAAGATAGTATGGCGGTAGATGACGTTAGCGAAGAGAAAGTTGGTACACCCATAATAGTTCCAGTTGCATCGGAAGGTCTTGAGGATGCCAATATAAAACCATACAGCATATCACGTGAAAATGATGCTAAAGAAACCGTTCTAGCGGATGAAGCTCAGGACGATGCAATGAAAGAAGAAGTAGGTGTGGCTGATGAAGATTCCTCTGATTCCATAAATACGAACAAAAGTATGAATGTCGACGAGCCTTCTAAAGAAGATACTAAAAACGAGTCTCCATTCTTCGTGGATCAAGAGAAATCAAGTAAAAGAACGGATGATGAATTTGTGGTGATAGAGTCGGAGGATTTAAATAGCATATAAATTTATTTTAAAGCATGATTTTTAATGAACATTTATATACAGTATGTTGGATAAAAGTGATAAATCGAAAGTGTTAGAGCAAAAAAAAAAAAAAAAAAAAAAAAAAAAAAATTCAATTAAATGTTTCTATATGTGATAGCCAACAATTTATAATAATAAATAATAAATTTTATTAAATAGAACCAGTCGCGTTTTCTATGACATAACGCATTATGCTGCAAAAGTTTTGTTTCAGTAAAGAAAATGGGTATACAGTTGTGTACGCGGGAATGACTGGAACAAGTTTACATACTTTTGCTTTATTATTTCTCAGCTATTTGTTTATTCTTGTCGGGTAGTATATAATTTTTGTATGCGGTCATTACCGGAACTTTCTATGTTTTATCGGTTTTCTTTTCTTTCTAGACGGAACTATGCCAAAACGGTCGAATTTTTTTTCAAAGTTTGCTACACAACAAATGCCAAATGTCTCTCATAGTTTTAAACGGGGCCTGTTATCACACATAGTATCCGTGGTAAAGATTGAAAACAGCATATTTGTACGAGGACTAAACCATACTTTTATATCTTTCTATCTATACATTTTTTTATTTCATTATTAAAGCATCAAATAAAAGAGGAAATGTATTTAAAACAGTATTAATTGTTTATACATAAAAATATTTGATTATCTAGTACTTATTAAAACCATAATTATAAAAATAAATCAAATATTCACGAGAAATGCCTCACTTAACATTTAAAAATAAAAATAAATTAACCTTTTTCGACGACATACGGTATTTAAAAACTTCGTGTCAGATGGTATATGACATTATAAATAAATACAAAGAATTATTTATAAATTATATATTTAGATTATGTTTATCTTATGATTTTTATTTTTATTTTTCTTAAGAAAAAGATTCGCACAAAAAAAAAAAAAAAAAATTTTTTTGTTAATCAAGTCTTGATTGTATGATTTTTAATTTGAATTATTAGTTCAGAGAGCACGGAAAATTAATCATTACATGTAAAATCTACCAATCAGAAACATGATGCGAAATGAGCAAGGCCTTATACGGTATAACTTTTCCGTTAATATAGAAACCCTTCCTTATCAAAATTAGTAAATTCCACGTTTGTATGTTTGATATTTAAATCACAACCTTAATGCTATGAGTTGCATACTTTGTAAATGGTTTTAGATTGGTGCGGCTGCATAAAATAAAAAAATCACATAAATCACATGATTTTGGACACTGGTTTTCCTTAATTCTTCCATATTAATAGTCATTTTCCGACCGTAGATAAATTATAAATTATTTGCGCATTAAAACACGTGAATCATCAATTGATTCTAACCTTCTAAGGGTCATTCAAACACCAAGTCCAAGATTAGTCAATCATTAATTCGTCTGTCATCGACATTCCAGCATTGAGGATTCCTCAACATTCTCTTCCTTTTATTTTACAACATCGAATTCCAATCGTTCAATAAACTCTTAGCAAAATCATTGTTTTGTTCGACTCGTATATATATATATATATAACATTCGCGTCCTTTGAGAATTGCATACCGGATTTTAACGCAGTTTCTATTGGTAAAATGATACGAAAACGCCATAATCTAGTGACATATCACTTAATACGGTACTATGGGCGGATATTATTTTTGTGTATACTAATTTCCATAACATGGAACTTATCCACGTTTTCTTATACCTCTTCTGTCCCTTCTACTTCGTCCACTGATACCACGACATCCGAGGTTTGTCTTTTACATCATATCGTTGGGGTTCGATCGAACGAGATAAAGTTCGTCTAGAGGTTGAAATCAATCATTTATAAGACTTCAACGATATGTAAATAATTTTTATACATAATCAATTACATTTCATGTTTTTGACTCGTTCACTTATCCCCTTCATTCACATAACATAGGTTGGTCTGAGATCCCAAGTTTTTACTCCAGACATCACACTCGAATCATTATTCGCCCCAGCAGAAAATTTTCTCCCTCCAGCTTTATTTGATTCGGAAACTAACAGTTTCTACTGTCCCGATGCAAAATGTCGTTTCATGTTTATTTATCACAGCAATGAACGAGAAGCTGAAGCACAACAACACTTCCAAATGTTCGCTCAACTCGCCAGTAAACTAGATCGCACTATAGTGCTTCCAAATGTAGAAAGAAAGCAAATAGGGACTTGTAAGAAATACGCGTTCAATTATTACTATTCCATTGAAAGTTTAAAGGCGATGTATCCCGATGTGAAATTCATGCTCCAGGAGGAGTTTAAACGATGGACTAAGGAAAGATATCTGAAACCATCAGTGAGGAAGATAATTATTAGCGATGGTCGATACAAGGGTAAAAATTCAGCGGAACGATATTGTTTGGATGAATTCAATCTCAACTACAACGCTCTTGAATCCAACCTTATTATCATAAAGGGAAAACGCCGAAACGCTGCTGATCTCCAAAAAGAAGTTATAAAAATTTCGACCAATGATACTGTTTCTAATATCGAAGTATTATTATTTGAACATAGTTCACGTCGCGTTATATTTCCTCAAGAAACCCATACCTCAATAAATTATTCTGAATTCATAATAAACGAGGTTACAAATATGGTTTCCAAACTAACACCCTATATTGCCATTCACTGGCAAATGGAACGAGGTAATCCAGAAAGCATGCCAAAATGTGCTGAAAAACTCGCTCTCAAGGCAAACGACCTGAAACTCCGACATAACATTTCGAGCGTTTATTTAGCCACCGATTACCCATTGAAAAGTAATCTTGAAATATCGACCAGCTTCCGTAATATAACCAGCTCCCATCATAAGGCGATTAGGATATTAAGGAGGAAGACTAGTTTTGAGAGCTTTTCGTCGTTCGAAATCAAAAATCGCTGGGGTGATATTGTCAAGTGGAAAAAATTGACAGATACCGGTTTACCAGAGATTCTTGATAAGCTAATGTGCATTCGGGCAAAATTTCTTCTGACGATGCCATCAGAGTGTAAAGGGGGGCAAAAAAATGATAATTACGCGGACATTATTATAAAAGAACGAAAGAAATTACTGGAAATTGAGGCAGGAGAGCAAGATATTATTGAAGATGATTAGTGGATATTAAGTGATTCAAACGTGCAATTCTATGTAAGAAAGGTATTAGGATTTTATTAATTCTTCAATAGATAATATAAATTATATTTCACTTACTATTATATGTATTACGACTTATTTTAATATGTAACAATAAATAAACTAAAAAAATTGAAAATAATTATTTTTTAAAACCGAAATACTTACTTTTTATTATTTCTATTAGCGTGTCGTAATTACGTTTAATCAAATTAACTGATAACCAATTCGATACAGTATCAGCCAATGAAGATTTTAATGTCTTCAACAAGATGTGCTGTTGACTTTACTAGTCATAAAGGCTTATACAGCATGTATGACCAATAAAATAGTATCAATGACTTTTATGATATAACATATACAGCATGTAATCAAAACATGTGATTACATACTTTTACAAGTTTAAGAATATATATATTTGTTAAAATCAATACCATTTTGATTTCATTTCTATACATAATCTTTATATAGTTTTATATAATTAATTGTTTTGTTTTTTTTTAACACTAGCAGGGTCCGATCTTGCATTCTTTATTTGTTTTAAGTGTTTTTATAATTTAATTACTTAATTATTATAAATTGAAATAACATTTTAAAATAGTATAATATAACAATAAAACAACAAATTTAATTTTATAATAAAAAAAAACTCTTTTTTATTATTTAATATAAATACTGTAAAATTTTGTATTAAGTCAGTTTAAGATATATTAATATTATATAAACCTTTTTAAATATTTTTTAAAAAAAAAGTTTAAAGAAATATGTTGTATAAAAAATTGTAATAAAAATAAAAAAAATATTTATAACAAGATATATACTGTATATTTGAAAAAAAAATATTTTCAACATGTATTATACAATAAGTTAAATGCTAGCTTGCTTATATATATCATACTAACTATTATTGAAAAAAAATTTAAAGAATATTAATATATTAAATATAAGTTAAATAGTAATCATACTTATTTACTTAAAAAATTTAAAATGTAAAAAATATATAAAACATAAAAAAAAAAGTAATTAAAATTAAAACTAAATTAAATAATTTATAAAATTTATATTTAAAAAAAGTTATATAATTAATTTTATTAAATCAAAAATATTTAATTATAAAAAGATCTTATTTATTCTTATTTTTTTATTATTGTATTTGAAAAAACAAAAATATAATTGATTTTTTAAATATTATATATTAAATATAATTTAAAGCAAAAACAAAATTTATATAATCTTTCTTTAAATAATTTTTGTAAAAATATTAATACCTATAATTATAAAATAATATATTTATAATATACTGTATTTGAATATATAAAAAACTATACAAGTTTTTATTTAATTAAATTAATTATACAAATATTTTGAATACAGTAGAAATTATATTTTTTTTAATTAATAAATTGAACTAAAATAAATTTTTTTCTAATACTTTAGTCTTTTTTTTTTTTTTTTTGAAAAGAGCAAATGGCTATCATGCTTTATTATATTTATTATACTTTCACTTACAAGGTAAGATACAATAATCAATAGCATGACATATGTCTCTCTTTGTTAGAAAGAGTTTAACGCAAGACTCCCATATGGGACCTGATCCCTGTGCTCTTTTAGCATCATCCAAGGAATATAAACAAAAAGAAATTTAAAAATCTATATCTAGTTATGAATGGTGTCCAGCTACCTGGAATTAAATGAATATGGATAGTGATCTTTTGAACTTATAATAGTCTAAAAACAAAGTTTTGAGGCTATATTATTTTCATAGAATATCAATAAGTTCTTTTATATTTATTATTATTGGATTGTGAAAAAAGTAATATGTTAAATACTTTGGAAACAATTTGTATAATACTGAAAGTGAAGTTTTG